TTTCCCCTCCACAAGACAGGTGGAGGGGGTAAGTCAGCCAAGACTGCTTTTCTCAAGTGACTCTTTGTCTACACAGTTTCCTTTGAGGAAGAAGGCAACAGAATCATCAGATGACAGGCAGAGACTGCAGATCAGTTGTCCGGGCACTTTTCCTGGGGTGGGAGGGCAGGGGGCTTGCCCAAGGAGCCAGCTGTCGGGAGTGTGGCATCCCCAGCCACACAGTCACACAGAAAGGTGGGGCATGACTTTAGAATAAAAAAATAAAAACTAAATTTAAAAAGCACAATTCTTCTCCTTGTGGCTGAAGACCTAGAGGCAAAAATAAATAAGTCATATAAATGACCCTCTGCCAATTGTCCAGAGGGCCCTCCTCTCTACAATGGGGCTGGGTACGTGGGTCCCCACGCTGGGGTACTTGGGGCCACCCTCCCATCTTGTTTAGTCCCCCCTCAAAGCAGGTGCTGAGACAAGGATTCCAGGGTGCGCAGTTGGTTTGAGGGTGGGGGCAATCCCGGGAAACACTGATGAGCAGGATGAGGGAGGGTGAGCAGGAAAGGGAGAGAAGGGAGCCAGTGAAGGGTTCATTGTCAGGTCAGACAGCACTGATTGCACCTGTGCTCAGTCCCACTGGGCAGCTCCGGGGCATGGCCTTTTGCCCACTGAGAAGCACGGAGATGGGGATATTTGTTCCCACAAACCCCATCCATCATTTGCTGAGGGTTGCTTCCAGGGCAAAATTCCCAGCACCTCCCACTTGCCCTGGGTCTGAACTGGGCTCGTCCCCACCCTCAGCAGCCCCTGCAGAGAGGCGCAGGTGTATGCACAGGTGTCTCTGCATGCACAGTTCAGGGCTAAGAGGAGAAGGTGGTGCTCCAACATCATCCCTGCCTGGCCTGTGCCACGTGCCCTGTCATTCTTGCGTCTCTAGCCCAAGGGCAGCAAACTGTTTTTGTAAAAGTCCAGGGACACACATTTTAGGCTTTGCAACCAGAAGGTCTCTGTGCAGCTACTGAATTCTGGGGCTGTAGTGTGGCAAGGCCGGGCATGACATAAGGAAGGTAAGGTGCCCAGGGTACACCATCGAGGGGGTGCTGGCTGCCAAAGCTGAGGTGGTGCCCCACTGTGTGAGTGAAGGCCTTCTGAAATGTTGCCCACTGGGCCACCTCATGTCCCTTACACCAGTCCTGGCCAGATGCAGTGCAGAGCTGGCCACACCTAGTACAGACACGAACAGGTGCCGTGTGCTCCTGCAGAACCTCATGGACAAAACAGGCAGACAGCCGCATTTGACTCAGGGACCATAGCAGGCTCACCTCTGCCCTCGCCACACTGGTCTTTTAGGTCCTCCAAGCCTCGTGCTCCCGCCTGCCTCCTCCTTCCCTATGCTGTTCCTGCCCACTCCCACCCCATCGCCAAGCCTGGGTATTCCTGCTCAGCCTTCAGGTCAGCATGGCGCCCTCGGTGCTTGGGGAAACCTCCCAGCCCTTGGCCAGAGCAGATCCTCCCCAAGAGGCCCTCACACTCCCACACTCTGTCAGAACACTTATCACAGTAGTAACAGTGTCATCGATTGTGCCATTGTGCCATTGATTAGTTGTGTCATGTCTGTTTCCCTCCCCAGAATGTGAGCACCCATCAGTTATCAGGCTGGGAAGTCTGCTTCCTAAGGCATCTGGGATCTTTGCTGTCCTCGGTGCCCCTAGCCCAGCCGGGGGCCGCCTGGTCCTCACCCAGCCCCCTGCACCGGCCTCTGAGGGGTCCCCTGGCTGGGTCACTGCTCTGCTAGAAAGCGTCTGGTGCCTGCCTCATGTCTCCATGAGAACATCCAGGCTTCTAGGAACCCCCGCAGCCCTTGGTCCCCTACCAGCCTCAGCCCCCTCCCTGCTCGTCCCTCAGGCCAGTTTCCAGTCGCCCCCGACCCCTGGGTGGGAAGGCCTCCCTCTCTGCACTTCCAACACCAGTCTGGCTCTGGCTTCCCTGAGAGGCCTTCCCAGGTGTTTTTCCTCACACCCACGGCACCCCCAGTCTCAGTTGGCTCTCAGCATCAGACACCTCCACAGCTCCGCATGCTTCCCCAATTTCAGGTTTCCTACACTGTTACAACTGACTACTATTTACCCGAGAGTCACCTTTAGCAGCCTAGGAGCTCCCCGAGACCAGGAGCCAAGCACCTTGCACCCACCGTGTAGCACCTAGCACAAAGCACGTAGCACATAGCACCTGGAACCTAGCATGTAGCACCTAGGCCCAGCATGTAGCACCTAGTACCTAGCATCAAGCATGTAGTACTTAGCACCCAACATGTAGCACCTGGCACCCATTATGTAGCACCTAGGCCCAGCATGTAGAACCTTGCACCCAGTGCCTAGCACCTATTATCCAGCATGTAGCACTTAGCACCAAGCCAGAGCCTAGGAGACATTCAGTAAGTGTCTGCTGAATGACAAAAGCCTTCGAACACCTAGCTGTAGTCTCTCCTATGACTGGCTTGGGAACTTGAGCGGCCTCTGGTGCATCCGTCACCTTTTAGGACCAAGGATGGAAAGGGGGCCTTGGCCAAATAGCAGCACTCTCTCCACCTGCTTCTTTTGTCCACTGGCAACTTTCTGGTTGTCACCAAGCTCAGAACGCCAGAGTCCCAAACTCACAGACCTCCTCGTCCCACAAGCCCCGTGCAGTGATAGGACCGAGGCCCAGCTCCTGATGTCCGGCACAGGACATCACGCCCCGGCCCTCGGCTGTGTCTGGCTCTGGTGGGGGCAGAGGTGCCAGGTCCAGGCAAACAAGGGCAGCAACCACAGGCCTGTGTTTTGTCCTTTCCTCTGAAACCCCCCAGAAGTAGAGGGGACAGGCTGGGACCGGACTGAGGTTCATGGGCAGGGAGGTGGCAGAAGCTGTCCCGTGACTGGAAGGGGTCGGGTCGTTTGCTGTTGGAGCATCATCTGGACAGGGAGGGGCTCAGAGGGACTTGCTCCCCGAAACCCTCACCTCACTCAGCAAAGCCCCCGAGGAACTGCTCTGAGAGGCAAAGACAGCTCCTGCCCCCCACCGGTGCACACAGCTATCCCGTCACCTTCACGGTGGCAAATAATTCACATTCAAATGACCTCTGACTCACCAGAGATGTGGAAGGACAATGCTCCTGGAGTGGGAAGACCTCGGCTGGCTGTCCTGCTCTTCCCTTTCCCGGCATGTTTGGTGCCCAAAGGGGGCCATCGGGAGGGGGCTCCGGCCAGCGATAGTGGAAGTCCAGGTAGCACTGCTCGAGGAGCAGTAGGCCTGGGCCACTGTGGAACGGTCTCCCAAGACCCCCAAGGAACCCCTTCCAGTGGAATATTAGCTCTTTCGTGTCCCTGGAATATCAGGTTCTTAGGGATCTTACTGCTTTCTGTAGCGCAGACCTCCTCAGCTGGTCCTGCCCCAGATTCTCCTGGACAAGTGGGGTGGGGATAGCTCTGATTCTGTGACGTGCAGAAGCCTTGGCCTTGGCTGGCAAAGCACCCTCAGGCAGCGGGGACTGTAGGGCACAGCCCCACCTTGCTAACTCCTAGCCACGCCCATGACTTCAGAACTTCTTTGGGACCCAGGGCAGGCCGGAGGTCTTTTTTTTCTTCTTCTTCTTACAGCTAACACGATACTATTTCTGCAAACGTGTGGGAACCACTGACTGAACAGATCACATCAAGAATTCTTCTTAAACTGGGGTGCTCGCTTGCTCACGCATCAAGCAAGATGGAGACCATTATTTTGTAGTAACGCCACCCACTTGGTGGAGGAAAGGATGAAGCAGAGAGTCTTTCCGGTACCACTTTACTGTTTCCAGGGGTTAGAGTTTGAAACCTGAACACTGAGCATTTAACAGTTCAGTGGTTAATTTGAATCTCATAGACCACAGATTTGGAGGGTGGGGTGGGCGGGTGAACCGAGCTGGGTCCTCCCATTGTCCACTGGGCGGAGGCAGCTGCAGCTCACACCCAGGAGAGGGGCCGGGTGGGAGGGCCGCCCTGCCCAGCCGGTGCGTGATCCTCCCCTTGGCCTCCATCCCATCGCATCCTGCTCTCTGTGAAGACAGTGTTGCCGTGCACTCATTAAAGTTTCATTAATTATTAAAATGGTATTTATCGAAGGCTGGCAGCTCTGAAGGAGGAATTCGTGTTTGTGGCGGTTCTTGAACTTTGGCAACTCTAGTCTTAATAATCGATTGTGATCTGTTTAACTTGGAAGCACATTTCTTATGAAACCTAAAGCAAACCTTTATGGAGACACTTAATTATAAGGGAGACTAATTTGCTTCCCCTCAGGCCCCCGGGGACTCTGAGCAGGGCGCCTTCCCTAGTAGACGGGAGGGTGATGGTTATCGATGTAGACCAGCGCTGCCCAGAGAAACGTCTCCCCGCGCTCCCGTCTGCACACAGATTAACCGGAGCTGTAAGGACTGCGTCCTCGCTCATCAAGAGTGTCCGCATGCCGCGGAGGGTTACTTGAGCGATATCGAACTGTCTCGGCAGGTTAAGCAGGCTCTCCATTAGGGTGCTTCCGGGATCTGCTGCATCTAACTAGGAAGGGAGGTTGCTGACCCTCCTTCCCCAGTCCCTGAGTGTGGTGAGCATGCCCTCCCAGGTGACACACTTGCCCCTAAAGCCCACCTGGTGGACAGGTCTGGGCCCCGTGCCGCCGGGCCTGCGCTGACACAGCAGAGCACAGGTGTCACAGCAGGGTGTGGGGGTGTACATCCCAGGACTGACCCTCCTGATCTGTGTCTCCGAAGGGCACTCACAACCACTCTGAGCTTCGGAGCTTGCATCTCTAAAATGACAGTAACTACTAGGTAGGGGTGCTTGTGAGGATCAGAGATAACACAGGAGAAATGTTCCCACAGAGGCTCAGTAAAGGCACCGCCCCCCTGCCATTCCCTGCTCTCACACACGTGCCCCTTCCCCCACCACTGCTCCAGCCAGTACCTGACTGGGCCCCGAGTTCGTCCACTCAGACTGCTACTGCAAGGCACCCCAGCCTGAGCAGCTGGGATGACAGAAATGTATTTTCTCACATTTTGGAAAGTCTGAGATTGAGATGTCGACAGCTTTGGTTTTTCCTGAGGCCTCTCTCTTTGGCCTGTGGAGGTCCAGCTTCTCCCTGTGTCCTCACGTGGTTTCCCCACATGCGTGTCTGGGACCTCTTCTCCGGAGGACACCAGCCCTACTGGATGACGACCCCCCCCACCAATGACCTCATGTTAACTTAATCACCTCTTCAAAGGCCCTACCTGAAAACCCAGTCACAGTCTGAAGTACTGGGCATTAGGACTTTAACACACGAGTTTCAGGGGGATGCAGTTAACCCCCTAACAGTTCCCTACCACTACCACCATGACCCATTAGCAGCAGTAGCAGCGGTAGGAGCGGTGTGTCCCAAGTGCAGCCAGCTAGGCGTGAACTCTGCCTTCACTGTCTGGCCGCGCCTTCTGCCAGTGAGCTGGCCCACCGTCCAGCCCTGCCCCTGAGCAGAGACTAGCCTGATGCAGACCAAGGCTGCCCTGGGGTAGAGTGCATTCTAAGGCCAGATAGTCAAATCAGAGCTGCATTATGTGGGGAGTTTGGGCGGCTAGGAAAAGGCCTTGAAATAATTTCTTGATCCTTGTGCTTAAGGATAATAAGGCAGTTCATAAGGTTGTGGACAGTGTTAAATGAAATGAGCACAGGTCGTAAAACAGGGCCTGATGCGATGTGGGCATTTGAATATTGCCAACCTTCTCCATATCCAGAGGGGCATGCTGAGCTCGGTGTGAGAGGAAGATCCGTCTGGCTGGGATAGCACGGGCTGAAACTCTCGGGTCAACACGGGTCAGGGCAATAGCAGTAGGAGAGAGAAGAAGACACATTCCAAAGACACCTGCAGGAAGAAACGCTGGTTGTAGGGGCTGTGGCTACGAGGGGGGAGAATGAAAACGAAAGGGAGAGGCCACGGTTGATCCCATGGCCTTAGACCTGGCTTAGTGGAGAAGGGTGCCTGTGGCTGAAAGGGGGAGCTGGAGTAGGGTGGGGGCAGGGGCTGGTGAACTCTGCAGAGGTCATGCTGAATGTGAGGGGAGGCCCTGGGGGCACTGAGGAACGGGAGGGGGTTCGGATCCATCAGCCAAGGAGTTTGCAGCCGAGATGGCCGCTCCTGGCTTCTCAGGCCCCCGGTGCCTCCCTGACCATAGGAAGCCCACCTGGGCGGGAGCTGTGCTTTGTTAGTGAAGCTGCTGCTATGGAGAGCGATGAATGACTCGGGGTCGTGTGTGCTCTGGGCCAGAGCGTGAGACCTCTGACAATGGACCATATTTCTAGTCTTCCCCTCCAGTCGCACCCTTTACAGGGAAAATGGTATATTCACAGCTGAAGTACAGATCTGCTTTACCCTTTTCAAAGTGGAAAACTCATAGAACTCTTAAATGGAGCTGTCTTCTGGCGAAATGCCCTTGGTGGGTAGGACGCTGTTGTTCTAACATGTTGATCTGCGGCTTTCAGGGCCTTCTCGGATGCTTGACTGCACACACTTGTTTCGCCTGCGTCAGTAGCACCATATCATTGTAAACTGCCAGGGAGGAAAGGCAAGGAGCACAGGCAGATGCGTTCTGAGGCAGCCTGGGTATTTCCTGACTCCTTGGCCAGAGGTTCCTTCCACATGCGAGAAGGAGGTGGACAAGGGAGACAATTCATTTCTTGACCATCAAATGGCACATGGGTCCTCTAGGGCCTGTGGGAAAGACCACCTCACCCAGAGGCACCTGCGAGAAGCCCCTCAATGTCCTGGTTCACTCTCCACTCACTCCCCCGAGCCAGCCCCTGCACTATTGCAGGAGAGCGACCCACAGAATGAATGAGCGTGCACGGCCCACAAAAAGGACCATTTTCCCAGAGGAGGCTACAAGAGGGTGGGGTTGGCCCTTGGTGGAAGGGTTCCCAGGAAAGCTGGAAAAGCCCGTTGCTGTGACTAAGAAGAGGGGCTTAAGAGCAATTATTAAAAGGAGCCTTCTTCTCAGGAAGAAGTGGTCCAGGTGAGAGAGACTCTCTAAAAGTGCCACAGGACTTCATGGAAGAACAGACTGGGGTGGAGTAGGATGAGATGGGACCAAGATGCCAGGGCTGGCAACAAGGGCTAAGGACCGGAGACCCCGGCTCCAAGAGCCAGCAGCGTCCCGAGGAGATGCAGGCCAGAACCACCAAGTTGCAGGGCCTGGGGACTGGCTTCACACAGAGGGATCGGGGACCAGGTCAGAAAGCGCCGCAGTGGACCCGAATGTCTGTGTGGGGAGATGGGACCTGCTCATGGCTGTTTCAAAGCAGCGGGAGAAGGACCGATTATTCAATAATGGCCATAGGGCACCTGGCTAGACACTGGGGAAGAAAACACATGAGCAACATCCCTTCCTCCCTCTCTGTTACCCGCGCAAATCCCACCTGCATGAGAGATGGCGAATGAAACCACTAAAAGAGAGAAAATGCATTGTGTGCGTGCGTGTGTGGGTACTCAAAGTCCAGCACTGAAATGGGAGCTGCGAAAACAATATTCATAATGCAAATGACAAAGGCCTAATTTCTTTCATTTGTCATCTGAGAATTCTTATCATTCGATAAGGGAAAGAGTTCTTACAATTCAATAAAGAATGAAAGCTCTCATGAGCCAGTAAAAAATAGGCAAAGGACATTCACAGAAAAAAGGAAAAAGGAAAAATAGCTCATAAACATATCAAAAGATGAACCACTTCTATCATCACTGAAGAAAAGCAAACTAAAACACCGTTGATATTTTTTTAATCTATCAGACAAGAGAAGATTAAAAGCCGATTATCTGCCTGTGCCCCCGTGGGCACAGCTACAGGGGATCGGGCCGATTCACACGCTTCATGCGTGCATGCTGAACCAGGTAGGACACCTTTGGAAGATAATTTGATGGTATCTATCCAAATTTTAAATTCATGTGTCAGTTAATGAGAATTTTATTTCTAGGAATTTTAAAAGATGTGTATATACAAACACATGTGTGTATGTATGTGCACAAATAGACATACATACACAAGATGTCCTTTGCTATGTCCTGCAGCAGACCAAATAGACATACATGTCCTTCAATACAGTGAATTTTTTAAAAATCATAGTACAACAGTACTGAATTACTAGCTAGTTAATAAAGTGAATAAACTCAACCTACATGCTTTAGTTCTTCTCTCTTTCTTTGTAACAAACCACCCTAAAATGTAGGTGCTTCAAAGCCACTGTCTTCCACAGCTCTGAGTGGCCACTTTGGCCCAGGGGGCCGCTGGCCCTGCCTGGTCTCTCTGGGGCTTTCGCAGTGCGTTCAGGGCTCGCCTGTGCTGGCGACCCCCACGTCTAACAGCAGCCGGGACTGGCTGCTGGGCAGGAGACCAGGGCATGCCTCCCCGTGGACTGCAGGCTGCCCACAGCGTGGCGGCGGGGCTCCACGAGGACGCGTTCCAAACCCCCGAAAGCAAGTGCAGCATCTCTCGTAAAACTGTGTCTCAGGGGCTCCCTCCACATTCCATGGCAGAGTGGCAATCTCTGCCATCTGTCGTCTTCCCCAGTATGTTTTCCATACACACACACACATCCACATGTACATGTATGTGCATGCATGTATATATCTGCAGATTTCTGGAATGACATGCAAGAAACTGTTTATGATTTTGGCATCAGTGGAAAAGGACTGACTTCTTTGTATTGTTTGTATTCTTACCTCAAACATGCTTTTTATTTAAAAAAAACTTTTAAAGAAAACTAAACCCATTTATTGAGCCAAACAAAGCTGAACTCGGCTATCACTTTACCGCCTGCAAATGGAGTTCTGCCCCGAGACTCCCTCCACCATGATGGTTCATTTCTACGCCCGAGGCCCCCAGAGGCAAGAAACTGGCCAGACGCCTGCCCTAATGTCGTGGTTCAAGGGAGAGAATGTGCCTTCCCTTTGGGTGACAGCCGTTCTGAAACTCAGATGCCTTCTTTTGGAAGGACCTCTTACTTGTTTTGTCACCAATCTGAATGTGACAAAGCAAGGTAAGCCTTGGGACCGGTGCAGGTGACAGCCCCGAGAGGCCTTGCAAGCGCAGACATGCTGGAGAAGTCACGAGAGCAGGCTGTCAGGAAGGGCTCGGGCTTCTCCACTTGCCCCAACTTGTACAAACCAAGATGTCTGTGAACTAAGTGCCCCCGGGTGTGCAGGGCAAGCCTGAGCCAGATCCATGTGTCTGGGCACACGTGTGTGGCTGGGACGGCCCCTAGAGGAAGACCCTGCAGAGCTGTGGCCCCAAAGCTGGAGTGGCGCTCTGCCAAGACCTCCCTGGCAGACCTTCTAAGTGAGACCCCGAGGCCCTGGTCACCTGCGGCTGGTTCCTGCGGTCCCCTCCCAGCCTCTGTCCCGACAGCCCTCCCTTCTCCCTGCCCCCTCCTCCTGCCCACACCCACCGCCCCTGGCTGCTGCTCCCCACCGCCGCACTCACGCAGTCCTGCAGGGAACGGGCAGCTGTACACATGCATGCACGTGGACAGATATGTGCACAGATGTGTGTGTGTGGTAGGAATACATGTTGCTCGGCTGCATGTGTGTGCGCAGATATGTGAGTGCGTGAAAACTATGACAGCTTTCTGCACCCACATATAAAGAAACAGATGCTGAGTATGTGTCTGTCAAGATGTGCGTGTGTGTGTGTGTGTGTGTGTGTGTGTGTGTGTGTAGGAGGAGGAATGACTGGTGGCAGCTCCTCTGGACAGAGGGGCAAGGTGATCCCGGAAGTTGGTGCAGACAGGCAGCTCCACTTCTTGTTCCCTCTCGAGAAAGGGGACACACACACGCGCTGCCAGCACAGGCTCTGCCAGCCCTGGCCTCTGAGCTGTGAGGTCCATGCCGTGGGAGGGATCCCCAGACAAGGGTGACAGGGCCACAGGACAAGGATTCTGCCACACTGGCCCAGGCTCCCTGTTCTCCTGCCTTCCGTCGGAGAGACAGGGCTCGGGCACTGCAGAGCTGCCCAGCCAGGCCAGGGCCCGACCCCGGGGTCCTCCTTCCCAAGGACCACCCATCTCTGCAGAGTACATGGAGGAGATTCCAGCAGGGCCTTGGGCCCCAGCCAGCCCCCATTCTGATCACAGCTCCATCACTACCTCTCTCATGGTCTTTAGCCAGGTTTTCTCACCTGTAACACGGGGGCAAGATAATAGAAGTACCCACCTTGTAGGGGGTCTGGGAGGGTAAAATGTTTAGTGCTTAACACAGAGCCTGGCACATGACAGGTGATCAATAATTGGTCGAGATGACAATCATCATTTCATCTGCTTCTCATGAGAGCCCATGGGAGAAGCCACTGCGCGGTACAACTCCATGGGGCCCCATCATCCAGTCTGTGTAGCTGGCAACCTTGGCCTTGGCGGTGCACAGCCTGTGAAGGAGGTCAGACAAGGTAAACAAGAGGGAAGTGGCATTGCTGGGATGAAACCAGCTGTGCTGGCTCCTTAGGGCCCTCCCACCCTACCCGGTGCCACTGGCCTGACCAGCATTCACAGCTCGGAGAATATACTCTCCAATCTCCCTCCTCATTTTGGTCCACACTCGCCATAAATCCTTCCTGCCATCCCCCAAATAAAGAGGTTTCTCAAGAGGAAAGCAACACATGTCCTTCAGGGGCTCCAGCTGGAATACAAGAGGGCAGCTGGCACGATGAGCAAGACAGAGCTGGTCCTTGTTCCCGACCCGTCCCAGGGACAATTGGGCACAGGTGGCACCCTGCCCTGTCAATCATCCTCAGGAGACAACACCCCCCCGCTGGGAGATGGTACACACACTGGGGAGCACCCTCCTCCTGGGGTACACTTGCACACAGCCTGTGCACCGAGAGGGGGCTGGGCATGGGGGCTGAGCCAGTGCTGGGGCAGGATGAGCTGGGCTCTGCCAGCCCTGCCCTTCCATAGCGTGGGTCCTGCACCTGGCAGCCACGGCCTGTGTCATTCTGCTCTGCTTTGTCCTGAGCAGATGTCAGAGTGTCTGTAAGGCTGCTGGGCTCTGCAGGAGAGGAGCTGGCCAGAGTGTAGGGGGTGGGCGGGGGCAGTTCTCCCTCTCCAGTGCCCCTGACCTCCTCCTGTTGGAGGCACATGGTCATGCCCATCACACTTGAACTTCACGTAACGGTGCAACATGTGCAACAATAATAGGAATCATAACAGCACGTATGTGTGAATTTCTGTGCACTTTTTAAGAAGAGTTCACTTTCTTGAATCTGTTTTCCAGTTCAGGCTTGCATAAACACCTGCGGCCACCATCCGCCGGGATGTTCTGGCTGACAGGTCCCACGCTAAGCCCTATACATGCGTTGCCTCCTAAACCTCACAACAAACCCACAAAGCAGGCATCATTCTCCCACATCGCACAGGTGAGGACTGCCAGGGGAAACAGAAACCTCAGAGGCTTTCCCTGGATCGTGCAGCTAGTTCTAAGCAGAGCCCAGATTCCAAGTTAGGCATCTTTGGCTCCAGGCCCACACTCAACGGCTTTACTTACAAGTTAAATAGGGAAGTATGCGATCACCCTGCTATAAAGAAAGAAATTGAAGTCTAGCAAATGGCAAAGCACTCACCCAGAGCCACACTGCAAGTTGATGACAGGTCCAAAACCCTAGCCAACGTTGACTAGCCTAAGGGCCTTTTACGGAATCTTCTCGGAGGTCTGCCTTTCCTCCCTAGATGGAAGCCCTGCAGGCCAGGCCAGAGAAGGCGTGGCTCCTCTCCGGGCTGTGCTCACACTCCATGGCTCCTCCCAGGGGCTGCCGCTGAGGGGCCCTTCCCTCTCTCTTCTTTAGCCGTGTTGTAAGAGTTCCTCAGCACGACAGGAGAGATGCTACTTATAAAAAATTCTCAAACTGTGACTCTATTAGGAGTGCTCAGTTTCAGGGTGACAGATCGCAGGGTGACAGGTCGCAGGGTGACAGGTGGAAGGCTCAGAGCCACAGGAGAGGGAGCTGTACATTCAGCCCATGCACCTGCGGCCTCCCCGCCACTTCGCTGAGATGTCCTTGTGCAGCAGCAGCACCGCCCCGACTGCCCCTCCCACTGGGACGGGACTCCAGGGGCTCCGAGTCTCTCCGCACGTCTCACTGATGTTTGGGATTTATGCTGAGAAATGGGCGCATAGGCCCATCACTTGAAACATCAGCTCATCTGGGAATTTGTCATGGGGTTGGCAGGGTGGGGGCACCGAATCTCACATAGGCACACATGCCAATCACACAATACACTGGCAGTCAAAGGGACTGAGCTACTAAGGAGCCAACCTTCCTGCTGGAAAGCGATCGAAATGCACTAAGAATTTTCACCGTGGCTCCCGTTCTCCGATGGCCCTTTCATGACAATGCAGGGCGGTTTCCACACAGAGACACTGACGTCTGCTCAGGCTCTCACGGGCTATTTTGGGATGAATGGGCCGCTGGGCTGGCTTTTGTGGGTTCTTGCTAAATAAAATGAATGTGGAGGCCTTAATTCCAGGCTTTGTCTACTTGGCCGGACACAAAGCAAGGAGTTGCTAGGAGGGCCTGAGGCAGGAGGTGGTTTAAAGGGACTGAGCTCATTAGCCCAGCACTGCAGAGGAAGGCTTCTGGATGGACGCTGTGCCTGGGGAAGTCTCGGGGAGATCTGAGCCCAGCACCAATTTAGGCCGCTGGACATTGTGGAGTGGGGCAGGGGTTGCAGGAGAAGAGATCTAATGCGCTGAATGGCGGGTGAACCTCTCCCACAGACCCTCAGGGGCTTGAGGCTTCTGGCTGCTCTTTGGGGTGGACCCCCAGCCCTCTGAGAGTGATGCCCACCCACCAGGTGGGCTAGGGGCAGGGTCCACTGGGGAGGGACTCCTCCTGGCAAGAGGGCAGTGTGTCCTGGCCTGGACTGGGGATATTGGTGGAAGTCAGTAAAGGGAGATCTGGGTGTATGCAGCACAACACCCGGACCTCGGATAGGTTCCCAGCCCGCTGGCTGCTCAGAGGGCCTGGGCCGGGCCCCTCAGAAGAAAGGGGCCGGTCTGGGCAAAGGGGGAAACATGCCCAAGGAAAGCGTCCCAGGGGCTAAGTTACAGGCCACCAGGGTAGGTGGCTTCACACTCAACCCAAGTGGAAGGACTGCATTTCCCTCTCAGCAGCTGTCCCCTCTCTAGACTCTATATCGTGCCTCTAACCCACGTTCCTTAACTATAACCGCTCACGGGTGGATTGGGGCCCTGGGTGGAGAGATAACAGGACCTTGTCTTTAAGATGCCACCTTTGAACCCTGGCTGGTGTGGCTCAGTGGATTGAGTTCAGGTCTGCAAACCAAAGGGTCGCAGGTTCAATTTCCAGTGCAGGGCAGAAGCCTGGGTTGCAGGCCAGGTCCCCAGTAGGGGGCGCACGAGACACAACCACACATTGATGTTTCTCTCCCTTTCTCCTTCTCTTCCCCTCTCTCTAAAAACAAATAGGTAAAATCTTTTTCAAAATTGTTTAAAAAGATGTCAACTTTGACCTTAGCTCTCCAGCATTGGCATAGGGGTCTTTGTACTACTCTTTCATCAGTCCTGCTAGTCCTGCTAATGCTTCCTCACACAGGTCTGGCACTGTGCTGGGGCCCGGGTAATGAGATAATAAACAAGTAAAACATTTTCCCCACCTCTGAGGAGTTCACAGTCTCGGGACAGATGTGGAAACATAAGTTATGATACATATAAGTTATTACGATGCATCACAATAAATTATAACAAAGAAAAGAACGAGGTGTTATGACAGTAACTGGCTATTGGATAGGGGAGGACCTAGGAAGTTTTAACAGAAGAAGAGAATTCTGAGCTGGTTTTGAGGACAGATAGCAGCTAGCAAGGAAGAGAGAGGGGAGACCTTCCCGACAAGGCCCCGGCAGGGGTCCAGTGGAGTCGGGGCGCATCTTCTCCTGGTGGAGCTGTTCCACCAAGAAGGAGCTGCAGCATCTAACAAGCTGCCCCCAGACAGTGCTCCTGAGTCCGCCGAGGCCTTCACATACAGGATTTCACCCTACCCTCAAAACAGCCCGGTGGGCATCTGCCCCATTCCATGGATGAGTAATGAGCTTGGGGTTATGGGCAACCCCTTAGCTGCAGTGCTGATGGGGTGGTGGAGGGGAGGGAGTGGCGAGAACCCATAGTCTCCTCCCACCAGAGCAGGCAGGAGTGTGAGGGCAGGGAAGGGAGGGAGGAGGAAGGAGTTACCCAAAGTATTCTTTCCCTTCCTCCCAAAAGGAAATGAACGCCACCTCATTCCAGATAAATGGCTCCAAATTATCATCAGATAAAACATATATACAATTTTCTTCAGACTCTAAAAACTGTAAGGCAGAAAGGGAATATCAAGACACCCATTCTCCCACCTCCAAGCATCTTGGAGTTCCATGAGCCAGCCGTCATCCCATGAGGGCCACCCTCCTTCCACTCTTGACGGCACCGTTCTTTTGTCACCCAAACTCAAACCACGAAAGTCACACCTGACTACTCCCTCCTTCCTGCCCCTACGAGTTATAACAGTGATGCGTTCAGGGCCTTCGACAACCAGGTCCCAAGTTTAGGTACTTTTTCAGCCTTTCCTTCAGCGGCCCCCTGACCCTGGCCGTGTCTGCAGAGCCCCGGGCCTCGCTCTTCCCCACGTGCAGCCTGCCCTTCTCCAGTCTCCTTCGGCCACAGCAGCTCTTCGAAGGGGACCTCCCCTCCCCACCACCCCAGCCCTCCGGGCTCAGTGCCTCCCCTCGGCCGAGGCCCCGGTGGAGCCACCTCCTCAAGCCACACCAGCTCATGCCTGAAAGATGTGTGTGCCTGCCAGTGTGCTTAAGGAAAGAGAGAAGATGTTAAGTGACTTCTCTGAGGTCAGAAGTCACTTCTCTTCTCTGGACTCATTCTTGTTCATCTGTTAAAAGTAGTCATATTAGCTTGTCCTTATCTCTCAAAAAGGCAGAGAAGATCAAACAAGATCGTGCATGTGGAAATGTTTAGCAAATCATTAGCTGGGGTTAAGCTGTAATAATTATTGTGGACATTTTAAGATCATTATTACACACACATTTTCTGTCCTTGATAAGCTCCAGATCTGTACCCTCCCAAAGACAGCCACAGTCCAGCCACGTGCTGCCCGTGAGCCTGGGAAAGGTGGCTGACTCACCATGAGATGGGTTGTAACCAGATTGTAAAGACTTAGCAAAACGTAAACTATCTAAATAACAATCTGTAGAATGATCACATGTTGAATTACTGTTTTTATATAGTAGCTGAAATAAAGCAGTGTTAAAATAAATTTCCCACTTTTCTTAATGCCTTGACCGTGGCTGCCAGGAGATTTGAAATCACGTCCGTGGCTGGCGTTGCCTTTCTCTCGACTTCGCTTCCCTGAGAACCGGAAGCTGTGTTGTATCCATCCTTCACGGCACCTGGCGGGAACACTAGAGTGTCTGCCGAATAAGCTGTGCTGGGAACAGTGTTTTCTTCGTGAACCCAGCCATTCCGGGGGCGGAGTGGTTGTGATGCTGGGTGGAGGCGCGAGGTCGAGGCGCGTGGAGGGGCGCTGACCCTGCCAGACCCTGGACGCTCGCCCGCTGGCCTCGATGTGCCCACCCCAGCGTGCCCCTCAGCCTTCAGGAGGCACTCGGAGTACTGGGCTTCCACTCCCTTCACCTTTCCTGCCTCTCTCTCGGCTGCCCCTCCCAGGAACTAGTTAGGACCCCTGCGCTGGAAGAAAAGGGGAGGCGAAGAGGGTGTCGTTTTCCCCATGAAAGCAAAACTGTCTGATGGACGACTAGCAGGCACTCCTGGCACAGCCTCCCGAGATCCCAGCCCTCCCAATCCTCCTTCTCTGGAAACGGGGGTGGGAAGCCCTGAGCCTTTGGCACACGAAGAGACAGTGACTTGCGTGGGAGACCTGGAGCCTGTCCTACTGGGCTACATGCACAGGGCCACCTGTCTTCTCTGCAACGCACTGCCTGAGCAGGAGAGAAGCCAAAGGCAGCTGGAGTTGCTCAGAGCACCAGACAGGAGCAGTGGGCGGCTCTCCCCAGGCCAGCCGAGCGGAGCTGACAGTGCCGGCCACAGACACTCCCGCCCCTCCTCACTCAGCTTCCCTCCTCCCACTTGGACCCCTCTTCCTCCTCACGGGGCAGAACCCTAGATTGCACACCTGGGACACACTTACACTTAAGGGGTATCCCTGAACAGATGCTCTCACACCTGTCACCTTGAGGACATCTGGCCAGTGTCTCTTAGATGCAGCCAGTATCTATGGGAGTTGGCCCACCAAGACACGGCAGATGAGGACACCCAAAGTGGGGAGCTGTGTGGCCCGCCTCCTTTTGACTCTATAATAGCATTTGGGGAGATTCTGTGTCTTTTTAAAATAGAGCCTTAGCAAGCCTACGGGAGAGATTTGTCTCCCCTGAGTATCTTTTCTTCAGGGCACATGTCAGAAGGCGTCTTAAATCTTCAAAACCCCCTCATCTCTCCAGGAGCAGGAGAACGTGGTAGCGGTAAGGCTCAGTGAAAAACCTGCTGATAGACAGATGGATGGTGTAATTACACGCAGGAGGGAGAGAGGGAGCGTTCGCTGAAATTATCAGTGTGGGCAGACAATTAGAGGCTTTTCCACAAGATTACACTTTTCCCTCCCATCTGCGCTCCATTTAGGAGTTTTTACATTCACAATGCTATT